AAAAAAAAAAGAAAATATTAAAGCCTCTGAAACCTGGTGAGGTCGTTGCAGTGTGCGCCCCCTCCAGGTCCCTTAGAAGTCAGAACCTTGACAAGAGGTTGGTTTAATGGAAACAGATCGCCAGGTCTTCTCTCACAGTCACTAATTTGGTTCAAAGCATCAACCTTCCCACCAGCAGGCCAACACACACTGTTTGCACCATCAGATCTTTTCAACCAAAATTCCAACAGCAAACCCTATGGACTGATATCTATTCTGAGCAATGGTGTCTCGGCCATTATACACTTGCCTGCAAACATAGAAGTTGAGGGAGTCTAGTCAACTAGCTGGTCTCGAGGAAGAAGCGGTGGTAGGATGCTTCCATCAATATTTCAGCTTTGGAAAGCCTATGGCCACAGTTCTGCTCTGTCCTACTGGGTGATTATGATTAAACAAAGATTAAGAACTCTTGAATTCCAGATTTGGGACCAACAAGTTCTGCTCTGTGATTGTCAGATACTTTCCCCGTCTTGTTCAAGTCTATCAATAAACCAAGAAAAATATCCTTATAGAAACCCCAATTAATTGGTTACCTTGTATGTTTCATCTAACTGCTTTAAATACATTGGTGGTTTTCATTTCTAGCCAATATGTATTGAAGATTCACTGGAGGCTCATCCCACGTAGTCAGTGACCCTGTAATGACCGAAACCTTTGATGGTGAGCATAGTAAAGGGAATGTTGGCAGCTGTACTCGGGCTAGAATGTAACAACTTGTAATATGATCCCCCCACAGACCCAATATGAATTTACTCTAAATGTGTACGGTTCTCTGCTTTCTACATTATGAATTTATGCTAAACTTCTAACAGTCTGTGCTTTCTATTAGGTTGAGGTCTCATCAGTTTTGAATGGCTATTGTTAGTGGACCTCGCTTGCTGTATGTAGGCCCTAGTCTTCTATAGTTATCTGTGTAGGGAAACTGGAATTGATGGGAACAGGATGATAATAATGGGACTGATGGTTACTAGGGACATGAAATGATAGGGGGAGGGGGAACAAACATCAGTGTCTAGAAGAAGGGAGAATGCTCCAAAACGAATTGTGATGATGATTGCAAAGGCCTTCTTGTAGGATTAGGATTGAACCATTGAATTGAACCATATGTTAATTGCAGATAAAAAAATAAATATAAAAGAACCAAACTGAATGAAAAGAAAAAAAAACTAAAGTCTATTAGATGCCATACATACATACATACAGTGGTGAGTCAACAAGGTTTGCTATTAGGGTTACTGTTCATACCTGCCTATGTTCATTAGTAACAAAACATCTATGTAATTCAGATATTGCTGCAAATAAATTCTCTATGAAACGCCCTTGTCTTAGTCTCATCAGATACTATTTAAAAAATAAAAAAAGAAAAGGTCCTATAAGAACAATGGCTTTCAAAGGGATCTTGGGTCAGTTAAATTCAAACCAGAACGTTTACTTCAAACGATATTCTTGCTTTTTTCTTTTTGAAATTTCAAAGATGTAATATTGGTAGAAATTTATGAATGACATAGAGTTATCAGGAGTATATTATGAAGAAGTTTTAAGAAAATTGGTAAGTACAGGAAAAGACCTGGAAATTTGAACCTAGGGTCCCGCCCCTCCTCTGCAACCCCCAACCCCACACCTCACTTTCTGGAAAATGCATCTTCTCAATCTTTGAAGGAAGAAAGGACTCTTCTACAAGAAGTTCATTGGAAAACCTAACTCCCTTCACCTTACAGCCATGGTTTGCCATTTCAGATTTCTTTTTGTTCCTCAAGGTGAAGGAACATTTTACAGGAACATGATTTGAGTCCCTGGAGGATGCCAAACTGCTGTTCTGAAGTGATATCTATATCTTGCAGACTTCTTCATGGAAGGCTTAGAGATACAGAAAACACATTTTCAGAAGAGTATATATCTTGTTGGAAAAAGAAACAAGTTTCACATTTTGATGTATTTTTAAATAAATGCCTTTCTGATTTGTAGAACTGTTTTTTTATTACCTTCATATTTCCTCCCTCTAGAAATGAATAGATGGCTTCCACCTCTATCTGCTCACTTGTTCTAGCTAATTTTCCAAAATGTGCATCATTTATGACGGAGATCAGCCTGACAGTATAGTACTTATGACTGAGGGAAATGGTCTTACAGTCACACAAGACTGTTAGAATGACCCTGACAAAATGCATTAATTAAATAACTAACAAGACATTACATAGTTAAGTAGTTTAATTCAAGGGCTTATAGACTTGATGTATAGAAAATGATTACATTCTCCATTTACTTACATTGTTCCTTAATTAAGAGTCACCTAGTACTGGCCTTGCCTAACCCTGGAAACTTTGAGTCATGCCCTTGATCCTAAATATGTTATAAGTCAATTGACACAGTCTTATGATTTACTTATTTCTGTTTCTTTGTGTTTTAGAGAACTGGATTTTAGAAGAGGGCAGGAACCAAATTAAACATCAGATAATGTTCAATTTAAGTCTGGTTTAGAAGTGCTTCCTTTCTCTTTAAATGATGTATTTCTGTTAATGCACAGATTCAGACTTATAAATATTTTACATTGATTCAATCACAAACTCTTGCCTCATAGTTTCACTTGTAGCTGCCAATTTAATGAGCTCAAACTCTGATTATTTCTATAATTCCAGTAAGCAGGAGGTAAGCTGTTTCCTAGAGAACACCGTCACTCAGTCTCTTCAGGTGAAAAGGCAGGGAATTCCATACAAGTACTTACTCTTTGAATACTCCATAATAGTTTCAGATAGTTAATTATCCCCGGCGTCTCTGAGAGTTAGAAAGATGAACGTCTTTGTCTTCAGAGGTGTTGTGTGTGGACATTTGATCACTCTTAGCCATGAATCCATATTTATTTGTGTGGTCAAGTGTTTCTTCCTAAGTCCGTTTTTTTTTCTGATTGTGAAGACTGTCTCGCAGTTTAAAAGAAATGATGTTCAATCTTCCTAATAGAGTGTGACTATTTTACAGTAAGAATGGCATTTGTTATATTTGCCAAATGTGAAGCCCAATCTATAAACAGGAGTCCTTGGTGACCATGTCCCAAAGCCTGTAGTGA